TCCTCCTCCTCCTCCAGTCTCCCTCCACTCTATTCTCCCCCCGTCGCTTCCCCTTCCCGCTCCTCGCCGCGGCTAGCCCGTCGCTTCCCTTCGGCCGGATCTGCCCGTTGCCCCCCTTCCGCCCTTGAGTACTGCTTCCCAGCCCACCGATCTCCTACTCCTCCCAGTCGTCCGCTCCCCCGATCCTCCTCGGGCTCGTTTGTTCAGATTAGCGTGCCCAGGATGCCGGATCTGAGAGGCCTAGTGTACTAGTGTTATTTACGATGTGCATTTTGTTGGTGAAATCTGAGATGCTTAAAGTTGTTGGGTTGGCCGTGTTGGATGTGAACTTGTTGAGTATATCGTTGCCTGCCTGATGCATCATGTATTTTTCATATGCAAAGCAGTTTGACAATAGTTTGCACGATTGAAAATTGTTGCGATATTTGTTGTAGAGATGAAGAGTTTGTGGTACTGGTCGTTGATGGTCAAATTGGTCCTGCATTAGAGCTGAGCGGTGTAATGTACAATGTAACGTCCACTAGTAAAAGATGAATAAACCATGTTTTTTCTCCGAATCTGAGAGATGGGATGTGCATGTTTGAATAGAAGGTTCCACTTGCCTGATTGCCTCCATCGAAATTTGTCCTTGCCTCAGCCTGATGGGTGAGACCAGACCCCACCACACTGGCACTCATCTTACAATTCCCAGTGTCGTACATGATCAGATCCACTCCCTGGGATCTGAAGCAGTGTCACCATTTCTCGTACCAACTGTCTGTCCCTCCCCTTCCTCTGGCAGCAGGCAGGCAAGCTTCAATGTGAGATCTGCCATTACCATCCTCGCTGGGCATCTTTACTGTTGTGATCATTCTCATCCAGTTCTTCCTTCCTCTCTGACCCATCCAGTTGGTTGAAGACTTGTTTGCTCCATGGTGGAGTACTAATACTACAAGCACTTTTACTTGAAACCATCCCGGTGGTGGGGGATCACATGGTTATTGATCCAGCAGTGTTTGGTTTGATCAAGTTCTCGTCGGTAAAGTTCGTCTTCTTGCTGAGTGCTAGTTTACCATTTGATGATGCGTCAACTGTCTGAACCGATCACGTTAGTGACCTGCTAGAACCAAACAAGTAAGGGAATCAATCATCACAACACAACTCCCTGCAATTCCGTTAGCACATCTGCAATGTCATTCTTTAACCAAACAAAAATGTATTGGATTGAGGAACATGTTCAGCAGCGATTTTGTTGCTCTGAAGCTTGAGGGCTAGTTATAAGTTATGGCTCCTAGTGATGCAATTACCTCCTCTTTTCTCCGCTCAGTTTTGGTTTTGCTGGATGATTGTTTGCTGATGCATTATTCTTTCTTCTTCTAGCAGGTGCATAATTTGCTGGCTTGTGTTAGTTCGGGGGACCAACAAAGTTACTGAAAATGGTACGGTGAATTGCCTCAAGCCTGTCAATCTGCCTGTGAATAACCAATTAGATCTGGACTCTCATGGTGTTTTTTGTTGTCATGAACATGTTAAAAGTTTTATTTATTGCTCATATTAAGTCTGCCAGACCTTTATTGCAAAATAAATTGAAAAAAGTAGTCCCACTTTATTGTTTGAAGGAACTGATTGTTCTCATCTACCCCCAGGTGGTTCTTGCTGCTTCCATCATCTCAAAATCTGGAAAAGGTGCGATGAGTTCAAACATTTCAGTTAGTGACTGAATATTCATGCCAATCCAAATAAATTGATTCATTTGTTCTTTTAATATAGCATATAATTTTCATCCAAGGTTTACTAACTGAAGTGAACTACTCCCTCCGTCCCATAATATAAGGTGTTATTACAACCAATGTACTCACATATTGATTGTAATAACATCTTATATTATGGGATGGAGGGAGTAGCTATTATCATAATGCTGGATGAGTACATTTTTAACTTCTATATTATGTGAGTTTGTATAGCAACAGGGCTCCTTTGTGGTTAACGTTTCCTTCAAAACTTTACATTGCAGCACTTGTTTCAAGACAGTATGTTGACATGTCTCGAATTAGGATCGAAGGATTACTTGCAGCATTCCCAAAACTTGTTGGAACTGGGAAGCAGCACACTTATCTTGAGACTGAAAGTGTCCGTTATGTTTATCAACCTATTGAAGGCCTATATCTGCTGCTTATTACAAACAAGCAGAGTAACATTCTCGAAGATCTGGACACACTGAGGCTACTATCCAAGCTTGTATCCTATTTTCATATCTTCAGTTTTCCAGTTTTATAACCCTACCTTATTGATGAAGTCATTAAATAATACATAAAAAGGGTGATAGTTTTTGTAACGTATTTGTTCCCTCATGATAACTAAACAGCAGATAGTGTATCTTGACCTTTGGTTGTGGATATTGTCAAGGAAAAATACTAGGTTAACCCATTCTTCGTTGATAAATTATACTTGAAAAATATAAATCATGTGTAAGAGCTGGGAGTATCTACCCACCATTGTGTATGCTGCTATGCTGTGATAATTTTCTTTTTTTTAATAATTCAGTACCATGGTCTCCTTAACATTTATAAAGGTGCCTGAGTACTCTTCTCTGGATGAGGATAGTATCTGTAAAACAGCATTTGAGCTTATATTTGCATTTGATGAGGCAATCTCTCTCGGAAACAAGGAAAATGTGACGGTGCAACAAGTCAAGCAATACTGTGAGATGGAAAGCCATGAAGAGAAGGCACATAAGCTGATGATGCAGAGCAAGATCAATGAAACTAAAGATGTCATGAAGAAGAGAGCTAGTGAGCTTGACAAAATCAGGGTATGCCCTACACTTTTCTCTATAATAACACTATGTATTCTACCTTGGAGAAAAAATGACATTTAGTTTAGCGAGCTCTGGTCATTAGGAAAAAGAAGACACTGTAATTTCTAGTTGGTTTGTATGGTTATTTGGGATATTTCAGCTGTCAATTTTGCATCAGCTTAGGTCTATTATAGTTGGTATCAGCTGCTTCAGTCTCGCATGTTTGGCTGGGTCACACTTTATAGTTAGCCAGTAAGCATGTCTTGGCTAAGCTTTCCTTTTTTCACAACTAATTTCTGTAACATTAGAACTTATAAGCATATGTAGGAGAATTTATTATGGAAGTGAGCATTGCGCAAACTTGTATTATAGCCAAAGGAAAAGTGCCAATTACTATAAAATGACAGCGTGAATTTGTATTTTATTGTTTAAATCGCAATTGCATTTCATCAATTACAGCACTCTTACCATACTGTTTATTGGGCATTATTTTGATCATGCCTTGAGAAAAACTTTCTTCTGGTTGGTGTTGATTCAGATGGAGAAAGGCAAACTTGACAAAGGAGGATACTCATCAATATCTGGTCCCCGTGTTATTGAAAAAACTTTCAGTGACATGAACATCAGTGGTACTGGCTTTGGAAGTGGTTCTGGATTAAGTGGAATAGGCGCTGATATGGACTCATTTGCGAGTAAACCCAAAGGTGGCAACTTAAGGCCTCCTTCTCTTTTAAGCAAATAGTTGTCTCACATGAATGATAAGTTACTCACATTAATGAAAAGTTACTGTTACAAATTATGTTGTGGGATTGGATAACACCTTTCCTTTGTGTTGTTTGCATGTAGTTGTATTTCATTGTGATGTTCTTTTCATGTATATGAAATACATTCACCTAGCCTGTTACACCCGTCCCATAAAACTCATGTCTGTTTTGTGTACACAATAGGAAACGCTAGAGTTTACACTATTCATGAAAATAACTCTTACCTACTGCAGCACTTTCATTCATGCTTATGACATTCCATACGAGTATTTTAGATTCATTAGTATAGTTCTTAATAATAAAAACATACATGCCTCTTGATTTCTCCTGTTTGTGTATTTCATTGTTGGTTGTGTGCTGATAGATAAATCTCTGGGTTTCTCGGATATGCCAAGTAGGGAAGTTTTATTCAGGTCTTTGAAGACAGATTTTCCCCTGTGTTAATGCTGGGCAGCTATGTTACCTGCCTTGTACTATTGTTAGAGAGAGTTTAGGAAGCTATATCACAGACATTTTTGGTCTAATTCACAGCAACATGTCTACAGGTCGTCCGTCAGCTGCTGCTACTGCTCCTGGCAAAGGTTTTGGTATGAAATTAGGCAAATCACAGAAGACAAATCAGTTCCTAGAATCTTTGAAAGCTGAAGGAGAAGTCATTTTGGAGGATGCACAACCAAGTTCAGTTTCTTCAAGGGCCTCGCCTCTTATACCAAGCGATCCCATCACAGTGACTATTGAAGAGAAACTTAATGTAATAGTTAAAAGAGATGGAGGTGTTAATAACTTTGATGTGCAAGGAACCCTTGCTCTTCAGGTCCTTAATGATGCAGATGGATTTATCCAGTTACAGGTATTATTTTTCTGGACTTCAATCAACAGTGCATTTTATTTTCATTGCCATTTTAGTTTATTACCGCATTATACACTAATTGAACAGACTGGTCCTCTTCTGTTGTGGCAACATTCCAGCTAAAATAATTCTTGCATGGTTCATCTATTGCATGGGAATACAGTATCAACCATTTTCACACGCTATGACATTCATATTCATTTATGTTAAATGTATTTATTGATGATGAAAAATCTTGTTGTACTCTATTATGCATAATGGAGTGGCCCATCACAATTTATTGGAGCTTATATTTTTGATATGTGGCGGTGCTGTACAGATCGAAAACAAAGATGTACCTGGACTCAGCTTCAAAACACACCCCAATATCCACAAGGAGTTGTTTAACAGCCAGCAAATTGTTGGAGCAAAAGATCCAAACAGGCCTTTCCCAAGTGGTCAAAATGAAACACCACTTGTGAAATGGAGAATCCAGGGGATGAATGAATCGAATTTACCTCTGTCAGGTGCACAATCACTTTATTCTGTTGTGGTATTCTATTAATTTGGACATTCTGTAATTCGTCTTGTTTGTGTAGTTAACTGCTGGCCCTCGGTATCTGGAAATGAAACCTATGTCAACATTGAATATGAGGCTTCAGAGATGTTTGACCTGAACAATGTTGTCATATCTATTCCTCTACCTGCACTTCGGGAGGCTCCAACTGTTAAACAGATTGATGGAGAGTGGAAGTAATGTTTCGAGCTACTCTTTTGTTTGTGTTTCCTGATATGTTTCAGTTACTAGAATATCTTGCAGAAATTATTAGTGACAATTTTCTAATGTACATGAGAATCATGCTTGCAAATCCAGTTGCATGGTGTTATACAGTATCACTTCACTCCCTTTTGATAATATTGTTGATTTTATATGAACTGGTGTTGAGCTTCAAAAATAGGTAGTGATGACCTGCATTCCAACCATTGCCCTTACAACTGGTGTTTCAAACTAGTAAGAAGTGGACATTGAGTAAATAAAACTCTAGCATCCTATATGTCAATATGCTTGATAGTAGTAAAGAAACTGTGGTTCATTTTATTGCTCGTAGTTGCGGAATGCAATGGCTTTCAGCTGCTTATATTTGTTGCTTCTCTTCCTGTTTGTTATCTAATTTCTCCTTGTGCTTATAGGTATGACCCAAGAAACTCTGTATTGGAATGGTCCATCATCCTTATTGATCAGTCAAACCGCAGGTGGATGGGATATATTATTTCATTGACTCAGATAGTTTTTGCTACTACCTAGTTAAATCCTGTTGTACTAACCAATGTTTATGCCTTCTCAGTGGGTCGATGGAATTTATTGTTCCCCCGGCTGATCCGTCAACATTTTTCCCCATCTCTATTGGATTTGCTGCTTCCAATACTTTCAGTGATTTGAAGGTTAGTTAGTTCTCCTGTAGTGTTTGGTTTTGACTGCTTTTTTTTTCTTTCTGATTTCCGCATTTATTTATTTGGTTTTCTGGAAAAATTTCAGGTCACTGGAATTCATCCTCTGAAGGAAGGCAACCCTCCAAAGTATTCACAGAGGGTCCGTTTGGTTGCTGCGAACTATCAAATAGTCTAAAGCCATAATTAAAGCAGTTACTGCTGTTTCTTGTTAGTGGCACAAGGAGTATAATTTTGCATCAAATTTGTTTAAATATGTGTGATTTGGCCTGTCCCATACGTAGCGTGTCGCACCATTGAGAAATAAAAGCATGAATTCTCCTGTACCCTGTTTGTAGTATTTCTTGTGAGAATGTTGTTTCTGTTTCGTACATGAACTGTTGGGTCTTTGAATCTTTGCGCTCAGCTCCACTATCTAAATTTCATTATTAAGCAGAATAAGTAGGGATGAATGTTCTGCTCTGAACCGCTCAACATCCAGGAGAGTTACTTTGCTTTTCTCTTAGTGCGATGAGCCTAAGGCCTCCTTTGGTTTATAGGATTGAAAAATCATAGGAATAGGTAAGTCATAGGAAATGAGATGACATGTATCTCAAATCCTATGCTTAGGAATAGAAAAGGAAATGCCCTTTGGTTCACATCATAGGATTTTTTTTCATTGAGTCCAGACTAATGTTTATTTTTCTATGAAATGTGGAGGATAGGAAGAATTCCTCCATAGGAATAGGATTTCATTCCTACAAACCAAAGAGCTCTAAAGGAATTTTTCCTATAGAAATCCTATCTTATGAAAATCCTACAAAATTCCTCCAAACCAAAGGAGAGCTTTACGGTTTTGAGTTGGTGCTTAGGCACTACAGCTTCAGCATTTAGGTAGGGTGATCTTATCAAACACTACCATTTCCCAGGCTGCGTGCTTTTATGTAGGATTTTCAGCTTGCAAGTTGTGATGATCTGTCTCAACCCAGAACTTTCCCCTAGCGGAAATGCTTACCCCTACGTTTTACGGAAGAACAGCCAAAGTAAAGGAGCACCGATCGTTTATGTAATGTCGTCTATAAGGTAATCTCCAAAGTTTTAGCCAATAGACTGAAAGTGTTATTACCAGACATTATATCTCAGACCCAGAGTGCCTTTGTGCCGGGTAGACTCATTACTGACAATGTGTTAGTGGCTTATGAGTGTTTTCATGCCATTAAGAAGAAGAGGCAAGGGAACGGTGGCTTGTGTGCGGTGAAGCTTGACATGCACAAAGCCTATGATCGAGTTGAGTGGAATTTCCTCAGGGATATGATGATCAAGTTGGGTTTTGACACCTCATGGGTGGAGATGATTATGGCACGCGTTACTTCTGTTAATTACAGGATTTGGTTCAACTCGGATGAAACAAAGGTGTTTACCCCATCCAGGGGGCTCAGGCAAGGGGATCCTTTATCTCCTTATCTATTCTTGATATGTGTGAAGGGTTATCCAGTCTACTAGCGCATGAAGAGGCGGTCGGTGGTATCCAAGGAATTAGGGTGTGCCGTAGTGCACCATCAGTTTCACACTTGTTATTTGCTGATGACTCCCTGATCCTGATGAGGGTGGATACGTTGAATGCCACGTCGCTCAAGAATGCGCTGGACTTGTACTGTGCTAGCTCGGGTCAACTGGTAAGTGATGCAAAATCCAGTGTTTTTTCCAGTCCAAACACTTTGGTGGAGGTACGAGCAGAGATTTGCACACACCTTAATATAGTTTCAGAGGCTATTTCTGATAAGTACTTGGGACTACCATCGAAGGTTGGAATCGATCGAAGTGATAGTTTTCAGCACCTGGTTGATAGAGCATGTGCGCTCATTAACAGTTGGATCTAAAAAATGCTCTCGATCAGTGGCAAGGTGACGTTACTGAAAGCCGTGGCACAGGCGATACCAGTCTATGCCATGTCTGTTTTTAATATCCCCAAAAATATTTGTAAGGCTATTTGCGATGCTATCGCTAGATATTGGTGGGGAGACACTCCGAACAAGAAGAAAATACACTGGAAAGCATGATGGAAGATGTGTATCTCGAAAAATGAAGGAGGCATGGGATTCCGAGATCTGTACTGTTTCAATAGAGCCATGCTAGCTAAGCAATGTTGGCGGTTATTATCTGATCCGGATTCGTTATGTGCTCAAGTCTTACGAGCAAAGTATTACCCAGATGGGGACTTGATGAATACTACTCTGAAAAACGGTGCATCTTATACGTGGCAAAGTATCATGGCAGGTATGAAAACCTTCAAGGAAGGGGCGATCTGGCGGGTTGGGGATGGTGAATCAATTGACATTTGGAAGGATGAGTGGATTCCCACAAGCCATGATCGGAAGGTAATGACCCCTAGGGGGCATTGTTTGCTACAGAAAGTACAAGAACTAATTGATCCAATATCCGGAAGTTGGGATGAACAATTATTAAGGGAAATTTTTTGGCCAGTGGATGCTGAAAGAATATTGCAGATACCACTATCATCTCATGGCCAGTCCGATTCTATTTCATGGCATTTTTCAAAGTCGGGATGTTTTACGGTCCGTTCTGCTTATCACATCACTTGGAAATCTAAGTACAGAACACGGGCTCGGATGAACGTTGGAGCAGGAAGAGTGGATCCGCATCCGGTTTGGAAGGTCCTTTGGGGCAGGACAGTGCCCCCTAAGGTAAACGTGTTTAACTGGAGAGTGCTACATGGGATTGTACCATGCTATTGTATGCTGTCAGATCGGCATCTATCTACTCCGGTGATCTGTCCAGTATGCGGCAATGAGCTTGAGGATCTGCGCCATATGTTGTTTGCGTGCGAAAGAGCGAAGGCCGTGTGGAAGGAGCTGGGGCCGGAAACATCAATCGCGAATGCAGCAGCCCATGAGCGGTCAGGGTCGGTAATCCTGGAGAAACTTCTTTGCTCTGAGCTACCAGGAGAGGTAAAACTACCAATTGTTAATGGTGTGGAAATAGTTATGGTGACTGGATGGTATTTATGGTGGGATTGCCAGAAGATTAGTCACCAGGAGAATGTTGGTAGCCCGGTTCGTTCAGCTATGAGCATTCGTGTTACCGTGGCAAACTCACTGGCTGCCAAGGCAAAGGAAGCTACGAAACAGATTAGATGGGCGAGACCAGCTAAAGGGGTGATTAAGCTCAATGTTGACGCGAGCTATCATGTGGATGAGGGCGCGGGAGCTACTGGAGCTGTCTTACGAGATAGCGCAGGAGCGTTTATTGCTGCTTCTTGTTCCTTTCGACAGTATGCCATGGATGTTCCCTCTATAAAAGCGTTAGCACTTTTGGAAGGACTGCGATTGGCAGAGCATTTGGGTATTTATGCACTGGTTGTGGAGTCCGACTCACAGGAGATAGTACAAGCTATGAAGGTTTCTTCGGAGTACCGTGCTTCGGCTGCGGTGTTGACGGATGATTGCCGACAGGTGTTGAGTTCCTTCGGCAGGGCGACGATTGTTCACTGTGCTAGGGAGAGTAATGGGGTAGCGCATTGGCTAGCCAGGACTAGTCATAGAAGGAAGTTAAATGAGGTCTGGCAAGAGCATTCCCCTGATTTCTTAATTCCCTCCCTGTATCTGATATGATCATTTTGTAATAAAGGTCGCCGAAGTTCAAAAAAAAGAAAAAAAAGGAAAGGAGCACCGATCGTCATCTGTAGCATTCTATTGTGGTGCTTATTCTACTGTGGAAGAACCAACCTGCCTTTTTTTAGGGGAAGAACCACCCTGCTTTTAATATGGTGCTTGATCAGTACCAAGGTGAAGATCTGTCCTTTATTTTGTGCCGCGCAGCTCCATATGTAGCAGAAGTTGCATTAACCATCACCCCGCGCAGCTCCATATTTATATGCCATAGTGGATCTGGCATAGTTTAGAGGCTATCTAAAACTTGATTGTTTAGAGTCAGATTGTTTAGAGGCTATCTCAATGGCAAAGAGCGGTGTAAGCAAAGTCGAAGTATGCGTTTATGACCAGACATAAAAAAGACAAGTTGAAATAGTATGGGGGTCACTTCATGGCTAACTTTGGTAGTAGGTTGAATGACCGAATAGTGGTTTGGTTAGGTTCTGGCCCAGAGGAGCTCTTAAATGTTGTTGAACGAGATTGTAAGCCTTAAACTTTGAGTAATAAAAGAATTATTGCACAATAAAAAGGGGAGGACATTGAGGAAATAAAGCTCTAGCATCCTATACGTCAATATACTTGATAGTGTTAAAGGAACTATTATTCATTTTATTGCTCTGATTTCATTTTTGCGGAATCCATTGGTGTTCTGGGGTACTTATATTTGTTGTTTCTCTCGCTGTCTATTATCTAACTTCTTGTGTATATAGGTATGAGTCAAGAAACTCTGTGTTGGAATGGTCTGTTATTCTTATTGACTAGTCAAACCGGAGGTGCATGGCTTCTGTACACCCCCTGGAAAAGTGTACGGATTTTGATCTAGATTAAAAGGGACCACTCAATCAAAAAGGATAATATAGCATGTTTGATCTGTAAGGTAATATGATGATAGTCTTTTAAGTAACTTTAAGATTCGTACAAATTTTTAAAGGGATGTACCGAAGCAAAAATCCTAATATTTTTTAAAAACTACCTAGTTCAATTACGTGTTACTAATTGAATATCCAATCCAGAGCCTGAGCTCATCTACACCCTATGAACAGTAAATTCAAAATAAATACTAGAAAAATTCAAAAAATTCCATTTTTTGTGGTGAAAGATGCTTGAATGCGTGATGTTCGTGCTTTAGAGCATTCGGACATCTGAGTAGCTCTCGGCAAAAAAAAAAACCCAGGTCTGAATAGTACAAACAGTAAACTTTTTCACGGATCTTAAATTTGTCTTTTTTGCTAAGAGCTACTCAGAAGTCCAAATGCTCTGAAATTTGGCATAATCATTACGCACTCAAGTATCTTTCACCATTTATTTTTGAAATTTACTCATCACTCCCTGTATCATCTAAGCCAGGGAGCCAAAACGCAACGTCCGTTACTACTGTTTCTCTATCTTCTCCCATGGTGCGACCTATAAATCCACACTTAAAGTTTGTACCGCTTCTTCTTTGTTGCACAAGGAGTATCATTTTGCATCAAGTTTGTTTAAAAATGTGTGATTTGGCCTATTCCATATGTAGTGTGTCGCACCATGA